GTTCCATTCCTAGTTTTATAGGAGTCTCCATCCTGCTTTCCAAAATGATTATCCTAATTTGAGGTTCCACTAACACACTATAAGCGTACCTTTTCCCCTACATCCTCACCAGCATTATCATTTGTGTTCTTGATAACTGCCTTTCTGACTGGAGTGAGATGAACTCTTAGTGTAATTTTGATTTACATCTCCCTTTTTACTAGACATGTTGAACATTTTCTCATATATTGAGAAATATCTATTTAGTTCTTTTGTCCATATATTAATTGAGGTATTTGATTTTGTGGTGTTAAGTTTTTTGAGTTGTTTATGTATTCTGGATATTAATTCCCTGTGTCAGAGAAGTAGCTGGCAAAGATTTTCTCCCTTCTGCAGGCTTTTAATTTCATGCCATCCCACTTATTGATTCTTGGTTTTATTTCTTGAGCTTTAGGGTCTTGTTAAGGAAATCAGTGCTTGCATCAATATGATGGTGTGCTGACTGTATGGTTTCTTCTAGCAGTTGCAAGGTTTCCGGTCTAATTCTTAAAATGTTAGATTCAATTTGATTTGATTTTCCTACAAGGTGAGAGAGAAGAATCTAGTTTCATTCTTTTAATATGAATATGCAGTATTCCCATCACCATTGCTTTAAAAGGCTATCTTTCTGCAACATATTTTTGTACCTTTGTCACGTATCTCATGACTGTAAGAATGTGTGTTTGTCTTTGTGTCTTTTATTTTGTCCCACTAGTCTTCAGTGATGCCAATACCGTACTTTTTTTTTTTTTTTTTTAATTACGATAGCTCTGCAGTATCATTTTAAGTCAAGTATTCTGCTGCCTTGCATCATTCTTTTTTCTCAAGACTGCTCTGGCTATTATGGGTGTCAAACTTCCAAATGAATCTTAGGACTCCCCCCCCCCCCATGTCTGTGAAGAATATTGGTATTTTGAAGGGGACTACATTGAATCTGTATATTGCTTTTGATAGTACAGACATTTTGACAGTATTAACTCTACCTATCCAAGAACATGGGATGTCTTTCCATGTTCTTAGGTCTTTTTCATTTTTTTTTCTTCAATGTCATATTATTTTCACTGTAGAGATACTTTATCTCCTTGGTTAGATTTATTCCCAAGTATTTTATTTATTGGTTATTTTTAATGGAATGGTTTTCCTGATTTCTTTCTCACCAGAAATCACTTTTGAAAGAAAAGCTATTAATTTATGAATCTTATATTCTGCTACTCTGCTGAATTCATCGTCTTATGGTAGAGCTTTTTGGTCTTTTGATACAAGATCATGCCATCATCAAATAAAGATAATTTGACTTCTTTTTCTATTTGAATCCCATTAATTTCCTTCGCTTTCCTGACTGCACTGGCTACAGTTTCAAGAACTGTATTGAATAGGAGTGGTGAGAGTGGACAGCCTTGTCTTGTCCCAATTTTAAAGGAAACCCTTTGTTTATCTCTGTTCAGTATGATAGCTTCAGGTTTGTCACATACAGACTTTATAATGTTGAGGTAGTTTCTCCAACATTTTTACCATGAATGAATGCTGAATTCGATCAAAGGCCTTTTCTGAACTTACTGATATGATTATATGATTCTTGTCCTTAATTCTATGTATGAGGTGAATTAATTACTTTTATTGATTCACGTATGTTGACACAACCTTGCATCCAGGAGATGAAACACACTTAACCATGGTATATTATCTTCCTAATGTGTTTTGTAACATAGTTTGCTAATATTTTATAAAGTATTTTTGCTTCGATATTGATCAGGGATATTGGTCTATACTTTTCTTTCCTTGATGTGCCTTTCTCTGGTTTTGGTATCAAGGTTATACTGGCTTCACAGAATATATTTGGGAAAGTTATGTCCCTTTTAATTTCATTGAATAATTTGAGAAACACTTGTGTTAGTTCTTCTAAACGTGTAGAATTAAGCTGAGAATCCATATGGTCCTGGGCTTTCCTTTGTTGGAGAGCTTTTAATTGCTGTTTCAATTTCATTATTTGATAGGTTCAATCCAGGCAGGTCACAGGTGTCTAGAAAATCTGTCAGTGTCTTCCAGATTTTTCAGTTTATTGTAGTGTGTTCTTTCAAAATAGTTTCTAATGATTCTCTGGATATCAAAAGTGCTTGGTGGTATCTCCTTTTTCATTTCTAATTTTGCTTATTTGAGTTGTCTCTTTTTGTTATACTAGGTAAGAGTTTATCCATCTTAAATCTTTTCAAAGAAGCAACTCTTTGTTGCATTGATCCTGTGCATTTTTATAGTTATTAATTTCATTAATATTGACTCTGATCTTAATAATTTCCTGCCTTCGTTGCAGGAATAATTTCACATTCATGTCAATGGATGTAAACTACCTCTATCAGTCCTGGAGGGCAGATGCCCTGACTGAATCTTCTCAACAGACTGGACGGGCTATTGAGTTCCCTTAGTTACCTGCTTCACTGATGATCAGTCTTCCCACTTATTAATCTGGAGCCAAGGAACTGCTAGGAAGTGCACCTTTCCTCTAATCTACCATCTTCCTCCACATTTTCCATTCCTGAGTTTTCTGTTTGTCTTCTGTGGGGTTTCTCTGGTGGTACTGGGGACAGAGCCCAGGATCTTGCGCACGGGAGGCAACCACTCTACCACTGAGCTGCATCTCCTGGGTTTTTTAAATTGTATGTTTAGATAGACTGAGGTACCCATGCTGGCCTCGTACTAGCAATCCTCCTGCCTTGGCCTCTCAAATCGTTTGGATTGTAAGCATGCATCATCATCTCTATAATTCTGGAGCTTTGTTAATTCTCAACTTACAGTCTCTTTCGTGTCCACAATTGTTTGGTTAGCAGCTTTTAGATGAGATTCACTGCCCTGTCAAGAGTTCTTCTGCTTTGAGGATCTTCCTTTGCTGGATTTTGGAGGATTTTTATTAACCAAAAAGTTTTGAATTCCACTCTATCTTGAACTTTAATTGGTACGCTGGACCTTCATTGGTAATGAGTCTGGCTTTCTTGACCCATCTATAGCAGGGGAGGTACTCCAGTTAGAGATAAAACCTGCTCTCAGTTCGAGCAAGCCTTCTGTCCCATAGTGTTGTTCCACATCTTCAGTGAATCACAGGGCCATGTTTTAGGATGGTGTGGGGCAGACTCTAAGTGCCATTATCCTTTTCCGAAAGGCCAATTTCATGTTTTTCTTCTTCACCATGCATCTTAGAGGCACCAGCACTTTATGGGTAGCCCTTTTGCACCTCAGATTTTCCAAATGGGACCTTATGACTTGCACTTTTTCCAAAAGTGCCCTCATCTTCAGTTAGTGGCAATCACCAAATCCATACGCAGGGGCATCGTGCCACACAGAAATCCTGCCTCTTCTGAAATCAGAAGCTCAATGATGACAGTGTTCTGGAACAATCTCCCTCCTTTGTAACATCTTGGCTCTGGAGCAGACACGCTATTTTTTGTTATACTCCCTGACACTTGCAAGAAGCTGAAGCATGTGGTATTTTATATAATATTTTATGCAGCACACATGAGTTGAAGGTGCAGAAGACTCTATCTGTCATGGGAGTTGGCCTATGGTACTGGATGGCTCCACTATCTTATGGACATAGAAAGTTTTAAAGGAATCTTTTTAAAGCTGCCTAGTGTTACCATTTCTCTTCTAAGCTGAAGATCCTTCCGGTGGAGCTCACTAACTTTCCACCCAGGCTTCCCACAAATGGTACACTCTCCCCACTTCTGAACTGTCTGCTCTTGCTGTCAGCCCTTGAAGTACTTTCACAAGGCCTAAAACATATATCCAGCTTTTCAGAAGTCATAAACAATACAAACCAGCATGAAGAGGAGGACGAGCAAAGCAAAGGAGGACAGTGCACCATGCTCCCAGTTCTTAACTGTAGGGACACTCATGTCTTCTGATTTGTTGCTTTCGAGCATCTTTCTCATACGCTTAATTTTCTTTTAAAAGTGTGTGCTTTCTTTTCTTTTTAGAGAGAGAGAGAGACGACAGAGAGAGAGAGAGAGAGAGAATTTTAATAGTTTTCGGCGGACACAACATCTTTGTTTGTATGTGGTGCTGATGATCGAACCTGGGCTGCACGCATGCCAGGCGAGCGCACTACCGCTTGAGCCACATCCCCAGCTCTAAAAGTGTGTGCTTTCTTCACAGTAAGTATTTTCGTACAAGTCCAAAAAGATCTCCGCGTACTTCAGAACTGGTGCTCTAATCCTGTTGACCTGGACAAGCTTGTTCCCTGTGTCCATGTTCCAAGAGCATCTTGTGCAGACCTATCTAAAAAAGGCACAACGGGCAGCTGCAGAACAATGCTCATCCCCAGTCTCTGACAGCATCACGGTGTCCTCATTTTGCATCCACACAGCTGTTCATCAACTGTCACATACTATGAGCTCCTTAAGTGCTTCTGAAATGATGATGATTACTTGCTGAGCCTCGTCATGTCTGATCAAGACTGAAACAAAGGTGACTGAGCCAATAAAAATCTTTTATACGCTGTGAAAATCAGTAACCGTAAGTCCTTCAAACCCCAGCAGTCAGGGGAAAGAGGACTTAAAGATTTACCAACACTGTATTTTGGAATAAAATAAAAGTTGAATAAAATACTCTTATGCATGTAAAGAAAGACCCATCTGCATACACACATATCCAAACATACATATGTACTTATCTGAAAAGTAGATATTATGTGGCTACCATAATTAACTCAAAGAGTTAAATTAAATTATACCATCTTACTGACTCATATTTTAGAGAAGGATGTTATCTACACTAAATATGCTAAAAATATTAGAAAACTGTACTGAACACATCCCATAGACATGCAAATGACATGGGAACAGCTAAGAAGCTGACAATTCTCCAAACTTTCCCTCTCTAGTTCACAGCTTTCATGTGAATTTACTCTTCATCGAATTACTCTCTCAAAAGGAAGATCTACTACCTTTAACTTATACAAACAATATTTGTACTGAACAAAAGATTCAACTTACCCTGGTAAAGGTTCCTTCAAAACTATGAATATCCAGTTGGGGCTTCTGAGCATAAACATAAGCCCTGATAGAAAAAAGGTCCTGGAATACAGAACATGTGTATTAATTTCAATGTTATAATTAAATAAAATGACATGGAAAATTTTCATTTGCTAATTAAAATCTTCCTTATGCTCTGTGCTACAAGTGATTCTTAGGTCCTGTTTGCCAGCACTCTGAATTAGGATGGAAGGTAACAACAAAGCAGTGCTAAAGCTCAACAGAAATGGTCACTTCTCTTCCCTCCGAGAAATGTGCAGTGTGTATCAGAACCACCTGGGAGAAGCTGGCAAAGCACACATTGCCTGGGGCTGTTCACAGGATTTTAATCTCAAGGCAGAGCCTGAAGGCACAATGGTACCCCACAATCCCACCTCATCCTTGGCTCCCTGTTCCTGAAGGACAGGCCTGACAGCATGGAAGCCCTTTTGCCCAGGGAACACGAGCTGGGAAGTCAAGAGGAAGGACAGATTCACAGTCAGTCCTAGACATGGAAAAGTATAGACTTCAGACCCCTCTGTGATGCCACAATTTTGGAATCAGCACCAATGCCCAGGGCTCATTCTCTAAGGGATAACATCTGAAGTTAAGCTGCTTGTGGTCAGTCTGTACCCCTGCTGTGGAGGACAACTGCACAAAAAAATCTGTTCCCACCCAGAGCTGTACATCAGGCAGGCACACAACCTCGAAGCCTTGGGAGGGTCCCATTCTTTCCTGTGACTTGAGACACCTCCCCAGGGGTGTTTCCATGCTGTGTAGTGTGCTCTCTCTGTTCCAACAGCTGCAGCTCACAGCAGATGTCTAAAAACCTGAGTCCACTCCCCTCACCTGTTACTGCATGCACACCTTAGAAAGGCAGGAAATGCAGAGAGTGCTGGTGCCCAGACACCAAATCATCTTTTCTAGGCCTCTCCCCAACAGATGATTAGGACAAAAGATGGTATTACACAGTCATTCTCAAAATGATTGAAAATTAATAATTCCTCTTGAGAAACTGTTAAGCATGATATGTCTTTATGGTTAAGCTGTATAAAAAAAAATGTTTTCCTTTTTCTAAAAAAGACTTGTGTCCCTCTTGAATACAATCCCAGGTAAAAGGTCTGGGGAAGCATAGGAGACGTTAAAGTCAGGATGGCCAAATGAAATACCACAACTTTGTCTTTTTTGTTTTTTAATATTTAACTTTTTAGTTGTAGGTGGACACAATACCTTTATTTTATTTGTTTGTGGTGCTGAGGATTGAACCCAGTACCTCATGCATGCTAGGTGAGCACTCTTCCTCTGAGCCACAACCCAAACCCTATAGGACAACTTTGTGACAATAAAACTCCAACACATAGGAATGTAGAGGTAGGGAGAGGACGAGGGGCTGGAAGGACCTTAGATCTCAAAACTGTCTGGAAGCTTCCCCTCTTGCTACCTTGGCAAGCTTCTGCAAGTGGGTAAGCTCCAATGGGACATAGAGCCTACAGTCCTACGTGACAGTATAGAACTCCTCAGATGAGTTCTGTGGCAGGTAGTTCAGCTTTGTTTAACTGGCCACAGGGAGCAGCATCTTGAGGAAACTGAGTACACTGCCAGTGGGTGAGTGTTGTGTGGGAGACTTCACATAGCCTCCTGAGGGGCCTGGTCCTCAGAAGGACCTGCATGCAAGGTGTGTTCAGGGAACAAGGGTTCAAGAGAAAGGCTCTCCATCCCTGAACTGTTCTGCAAGCAATTTGACTTCCTTCTGGTATTCCAGACTTATGGTGTGTGCCTCTGTGGCTGGCCCTTGATAAGGGGCTGAGCAATGAGTCTCTGTAGCTCCCCAATAGGCGGCACTGCACATGCTGGTCACATGAACTCGTCAATGGGTCGAATGCCTGCTTTCCTCTGGACTCTCAACATGTCCCTTGTTGGATGTACTAGTACCCCTGCAATACCTCACAGCCATGTGGGGGATAACTCCACCTGGTTTCTGAGAGTCCTAACGAATCATCAGAGCTAGGAGTGGTTTTGATGATCCCTGATACAAAGAACTTGCCATTTTTATAAATTTGATTTCCTTTCTGAGTATGAGTGAAAAACCAGAATTTGGAGAATAGGGTGACCAAAGCATCTGAAAAGTAAAGGTAAACTAAAGTCTGGGAGAAAGAAGCCCCTCATAGAGGGGCCTGAAAATCTGTTTTTAATCTTAGTCTGACCCCTAAACAAATCATGCACAGTCCAAGTTCCAAGCAGCCCAGCAAAATAAAAGAAGTGAACAAGGGCCTCAGCCAAGCTAACCACAGTTAAACCTAACCAAACTCCAACACTCTTCAGAAGAACCCAATAGAATCCTGTGTCTCTATAATGTATCATGACTAAAGCTGAAGATACAATTCAAATTTCCAGACATGTAAAGAAGCACAACCATAAAACTCAGTCAAAGAAAGAATGCAATGGGTGAAGACCAGTCCTGAACAAACTGAGCATGAAAACCAAGAGAAGAGAATTCTAAAGTAGCTTTCTAACACTTCAGACTCGTAAAATATGCTCCTAAAGGAAAAATCACTGCAGAGAAAGAAAGAAAAGGGAAAAGGAAAACTACCTGAAGAAACAATGACCTAGAATATTCCAAATCTGCTGACTGCCCAAAATGTAGATTCAAGATTAAAAAAAATTAAAACTATCAAATTACTACAAAGACAAAGACATATGGGGAGTGAAATTCTAAAACACCTAGAAAAAAACCGACAAAATACCACTGACTTTTTACTACAAATAATCAAGGCAGAAGACAACAAAACAAACTACTTAAAGTACGAATATGGGGAGAGGTCAACCCAGAATTCAAAGCCAGCAAAAGATCCTTGAAGAATATAGAAGAAATAAAGACATTTTCAAAGGACTTAAATGAGAACTAATTCCAGTGGCTACCCACCAGCTATATATACACTGACAGAAGTTCTTCACCCTGAGGGGAGATGGCATCAGGAAATGACAACTGTCCATACAAACATCAAAAGGAAAATCCCATTTTTCACCTAATTTCTTAAAAATATGCAATTAAAAGCTAAAGTGGAAAAAGCAGTGAAAGAAGACATGAGAGACCAAAATTGGCTCAGGCTTCAGGGCCCAATGGGGAGGAGGGCAAGGAGAGGATGGATCAAGAAAGGAAAGATGGCAATTGCTGATTAGTCAAGGTCTCTGAAAAGCGTGCCAGACAGGATCAGCACAAAGCTTTGGAAGATCCACCTTTAGACAGGAACAGGAATCATCCTTCGTTATCAGATTAGGCAAAGGAGGAAGAGAGGCAACAGGCTTTACTGGCCAAGAACTGCAGAAACTTCTGCTTAATGGAACCCTTTTCTGCACAGACAAGACCATGTGTTGAATGACAGTGAGATGAGAAATGAAGAGGAGCCAAGTTTGAGAATGCCGTCACTGACAGGAGAAACCACAGTTACCCAGGACACATGCAGAGAGGTAAAGGTCTCTTGGGAGGACGCCAATGCTGGTCATCATAAAGCTGTTTTCCACTCTGGCCTACATTCTGAGTAATGCAGACAATGCATTTTCCATTCTTATTTAACTTTTTAATTGCAGCAGTGGTGTTTATTTCTAAGAGGTCTTATTTTTCACTTTTTCTTTTCTCATAGCTTCTATTTTGTTTAAACTGTAAGAAACTCTCAAATTTCTTCAGAGATATTAGACAACTGAAATCACTGTCTTCAGTTCCTCGAGACCTAATCCACTGGGCTGCTTTCACTTTGGACTGGTCTTTCCCCTTCCTGTGGATTCTACACATGCATTCCAACTATCTCTGCAGAAGGCGGAGGCAGAATTGCTGGTGGGCTTCCTCATGCTGCCCACACAGGCACCTGGATGCTGTCTGAAACTTTCATACTGTCTTTCATTTCTAGATGACATATTGACTTCTGCTGTTCATGTTTCATTAACTTTCCACTTTCAGTGAAATGGAACATATAAATTTATGAACTGCTTAAACTTTTACTCAAAGAACAAGAGCATAGTAACTGACACTAATTTAAAAAAAAAAAAAGGCTAAAAAGAATATCCTGTTCTCGTGCCAATAAAAGCCTCTAAGAGAACTAACTGAATAGTTGTAGGCTACTCAATTCAATAAGCAGCATAAGAAATCAGAGACACTCGGGCTCAGCAGTAGAGCACACACCCAGCATGTGTGAGGCCCTGGGTTCAATCCTTAACACCACATAAAAATACCTAAATAAAATTAAGATATTAAAAAAAGAAAAGAAATCAGAGACACTCAACAGAAAGCCAAATTAAAAAGTGGAATGGCAGAAGTTATCCTCCATCTTCCATCCTGCTTCTCTTCTCCTTTTAAAACTAACTTCCAAGCCGCAGACAGGTGGCTTCCCAATACATTTCTCAGCATTCTCCACAGGTGGATGTGAAAGTGTGGCTAATTCTTGCCAAGCAGCATGACAAACAGTAATGCAGTCCATCTACCTTCCTTACCCTCTGTTGCTGGCCACTGTGCAATCAAGAGCTGCTGAGACCTCTCGTGGGAAGTCACCTGACAAAAAAACAAAACTACCCCCACTAGCCTTGGACTACCATTTTTGGGCCACCAAATGAAGGAGAAAAGGTTCTCTCTAGACTTGGGGTATATCAGTTGAGTTTCATTTTTCAAATCAGAAGCATTCTGAATTTAATAGCAAAAGGGATCTCATACAGAACATGATGCTTCCAATATCAGAGAAAGGGAAGAAATTCATGACTAAACCTCCAAAAATACTCTCAGAATGTTAATGAAACAACTCTCCAGGGAAATACCACTATATGACCCAATGAAGTTGACCACTGCCCAAATGGTAGAGGAGCAGCAGTAGCTTAGGGAGCGCAAGGGCATCTGCCAGCAAACACCACAGGAAGAAGACAGCTTCTCTTCTCCTGCCTTCCAAACTCCTGTGAGCACAGTCAACCATGAAAACTGATTTCCATACCTTCCAGGCCTCCAGGATACAGGAGGCTAGTCCTCAAGTTCCCAGGGAACACAGGCTGGATGGTGAATGGAGTGAAGCAGACTCTATAGC